AATCGGTGGCCACGAGTTTACGAAAAAACAGTAACAAAGAATGGAAACATTCACTGGAAGTGTTCAAGATGGGGGTCCCATAAATGCAAAACGACAGCAATAACCCGAGAAAACGATCTTATTTACTGTAGAAATGAGCATACGCTTGAAGTATTTCCTGGTCGTTCGGATGCAAGGCTTCTCGTGCAGAAAATGAAACAGGACACAAAAACACAGCAAGTACCAGTCAATAGCATAATTATAGCAAACGGCCTGCAGTCTGTCTCCGAAGAAAAAGCAGTTCAATTAGCTCTTCCTTGCCGGTCGGCTATTAATCGGGCCTCAATCGACAGAAGGTAAATGATAGACCCACATTGCCTCCAATTGTCGACAGACATTTTGAAGTGCCAAAGCAACATGAGGTCTTTGCGTCTTCGATAGCGGCATTGAAGATCCAGAAAGGGTGTTGATTTTTCGACTGCCCTCTAAACGGGTGTTCCGACTGCCCTCTAAACGATCTTAGTTGACATTGATTTTCCCCCCAATTTATGATGTTTGAACTGTTTGTTTTTCATTCCCCGACAGTCATTATAAAAAATTGATGAGTTCAAAATTGACCAAAACTAATTGACCAATTAGATATTTTCAATTAATGTTGAATCAAATTTGTCGGCAGGATAATTAGACACGCAAAAATTTTTCAATTTATTTTTTCAGCATCATTTATGATATCTTTAAAGTGCACATCAATTAGTTCTGAGCATTGCCAATTTGATAATTTTAAAACGTCACAAAACTTTACCAAATAGTATTACAGGTTGAAATGAATTTTTACATTTGAGCTCAGGCACTCAATAGTTTTTGGCAAACTTTTATTTCAATCGCCAATGTTGGTTTGAATAAAAACAATTGCCTCAAGCAAATTTATTTATGTTACTTTCTTCGAAGATCAATAAAATAAAACTGTACAGTTGCTGGACATTAAGCTGACAAAATAAAAGCGGTAAATTTCGAGGAAAAAAATACAAAAATCATCTAGGACATTTTTTTCAAATTTAGTTTAAAGTATACTCATTACTTTCATCGTTTAAAGCATTAATTTTTCCTACTACTTACAATTATTGCGTCAATAAAACTGCGCAGTTGCTGGACCCAGCAAAAAAAAATAAAAGTTCAAAAACAAAAAAAAACGTAAGACCTTTTGCGGAATTTGTCTAAATATCAACACTAGCCAAGTCTCCTATTAATTACAGGAAAACCCCACATTTACAACTGTCATGCACAGACTGGCAAGGTAGTCCGGGTAGATCAATAATGAGTTATATAGAAAAGGAATGACATAGCAATGAAGTCAATAATTAAAAATAACCTTCTATAAAAGACTACTATTGGTTTATCAGATACTTGCGCTCGCAAATGTAAACAATGAAACACAGAGGCGAAGCGGAACTTTTCCAAACTTTCTACATAAAAGTTATTGACATTAATCACAAAACGTTAATGAAAACGAGTAAACTTTCGAAGAAACCACAACTAAAAAACTTCAAAATATGGTCTGAAGGTTGTTTTATTTGTAAAAAAAACATGCCCAGAAAGATATTTGACGGCGTTTAAGGAAAATTCAAAAACAATTATCAAGCGAAAATGAAACTGTTGTTATGACAATTTTGAACTTATGCTGATATTTTTAACGTTTTGTGAAATCCGGAAAAAAGCATACAAATTATAGTTCCCTCGAAACAGTTTGGACGGCGTTTAGTGAAAATTCAAAAAAAAATCATCGAGCGAAAACAAATTTGCTGTCATGAAAAATTTTGAATTATAAATTGTTTTCTGAGTATTTGAAGTTTTGTGCAATCCAGAGGAAAGTATACAAAATATAGCTTCTACGAAACGACGCAAAATTAGGTTTTATAAACCGATAAAATGTAGGCCAAAATCGGCAACGCTTTTGATATGTTCTCGTAAAAGTCGAACCCAGGACCTATCCCAAGCAATTCGCTATCTCCAGACTAAGGGTGCCAAAGACGCTTAAAAATTTGAATTCATTATAAACCAAGAGACCAAGCGATTCAAGTGATTATGTTAAAAAAAAATTGTTAATTCTAGATCAGAGTTAAACTTCTAGCAGTCAAAACCGTTGAATAAAACAACAATGAACAACCGACGATGCAAAGTGTAAAGAACTTTAACGAGATTGAAAAAAAAATCAAAATTAAGAACACAACTAAACAGTTCAAAACTTTTGAAATAAGCAATTCATCAAAAAAAAGTTATTTCAAGGGAAAAATATATCTGAAAATTTCCGCAAACAAAGTTAAATTGAAATTTATCCACAAAATTCAAGTCAATGAAAAAGCTTTTATCATGTTTTAATTTTATTGAATACCTCATGGAACAATCTAGATATCAAAACCAAAATTTTACCGCCAATAGAACACCAATCATCAATTATGATAAAAAGTAACACTTAGAAAGAAAATCTGTACAATAAAATTGAACATTTTGAGTCGAAATTGAAAATGAACAAATTGTACTCTTGGGGGACTGAGAAAATGAACCGATTTCGACGGTCCAACTCAAAGTTATAAGCTTTTGAAATCTCGGTGATGCCAAAAGTTAAGCCTAATCGAGCGTGCTGCAAAAAATGAAATAGTTTTTTTTTGTTTAAATTTCCCTTTTTTTTCAACTCGTTTCATAAATTTGAGCTCAGGACAATTCGAACGAGCCAAAAATGACGTTGTAGCTTAATGTACGTGGAGTAATCATCAGTTGAAATTTTGGGGGGACCCGAATTTTGGCCATTTTGGACGAAAATCGGCCTAAAAGCTAACTTTTAAATCAGTGCAATTTTTTTTCTTGCAGTTTTCAAGAGAATTGGGCTGCCCTCCGCTGTCGCAGAGTGCATTCAATGAAAACTTATCAAATGTACCAGAAAAATTCAGTGACAGATGACAAATTTAAAAGTAATTAAATTGACATATTCAAAATGACAAGCTAAAATGATTTTCAAATCATTCCAAAAGTTTCGACATTATGAGTTTTTGTTTTCAACAAAACTTTGCTATGCTGATATTTACGTCACCACACAAGTACACGTACTCTTAAAATGGAAACGAGAGGACATTTGTCGGAAACCAGCAAGCTGATGAGCTGTTTCATTTGAGCTGAACACATTTTTCAGAAAAAAAACAACACTGAATTTCCGGCAATTTGATATTCGAAAACAATAATTATTCAAAATTAAAAATTTTAACAAATATATGAAAACACAAACATTTTGGGAGAACTTACATGATTTTCAAGAGATTTTCTTTAATGAAGCTTGGCTTTGGTCCTTCTTAATCTGGTTCAGAAAAAAAGTGTTATACTTTTTTGATACAGAATAAATTGCAATTTTGAAAAGTTGCTTTCTTATTGAATGATCTTTATGTATCAAAATACTTTTTATTTTATAGTTTTTGAAAAATGGCTATTGCAGAAAACGTTGAAATCAAACTTGTTTGTTTTCTCTGGAGAATAGATTTGCGCTGTTGGTTAAACAAGTCCACGTTTGATAGACAGAAGCTCAGATTTTTGACCTCCAGAATACTGGTGAAAATATTAATTGGTGATCAATCACAAAACGAATAGTTGCATTTTCAATCAAATTATAAGTTTGATCCAAGTTGCAATTTGGACACCTCGAAGTAAGCTATTACGGCTCAGCTTAAAAAATTTTCTAGCGTTATGATAAGATAATCTCAATTTGTACAGAAAGTCATAGCCTGAAACTGTAAAAAGGCTAAAAACTGACAATTGAACAAAACTGGCCATAAATTGGATAGTAAAATTTGATGGAGCATGTAGATGATGCTGATAATCTGCGCCATTTTTTACAAAAAAAGGTTTCAAATTGAATTTGTTATTTTAATTGGTTGCCATTAAAGACGCCTAACTTTTGAATTCATGTTTCTCGTTTATAACTTGATTACTGAATTGAATTGTTTCTTTTTTTGATCTACTCCCAAAAACAGAAGTTGTGACTGATAAAAATTCGCTAATGCCCGTTTTTAAAAATTCTTTACACTGGCTAAGGTTTTTGCTGTTACTCAGCAGTATGGTATCATTTTTATAATGCATGAATTCACAGTTGGCTGTTTTTTACATATCTTTGACAAACAAAAAGGTCCTCAGACTGTAATTTAAGAACGTGCGACTGCATGTAAATCTGACTCTGCTCCGCTTAAGACAAATTTGTGATGTATGTTTGTCAGATAAATTTCAATAAAACTTATGACACTTGAATCATTGCTCAGGGATACCATTTTCTCTAAGATAAAACTTTAATCATTTGTCACGGAAGCCTTAGATAAACCAAGAAGAGCATCCGCGACCAGCGACTACTTATCCTTTTTTGTTCATACTCGTTTTACTTATAAAATTAAAGCATCCGTTTCAAAAAACTGCTTTCGAAATCCTAGTTGATGCTTATTCATCAAATTGATTTTTTGTAGATACTCGATTGTTTTTTTTTTCTGAAGAATTTTCGTCAAAAACATTTTAAAGCAAAAATAAATGAAATTGGATGGAGTGGAGTATTTTGCATCTTCTTTATCCCCTTTTTTGAACAAAGATGTTATGTTAGCCAATTTAAGTCTATCAGGAAAAATATCGATAGCAATTTTTTCCTTTAC